GGATGTGGTGGTGTGCGCCTGTAATCCCAGCTACTCAGGAGGCTGAGGCAAGAGAATCGCTTGAAACTGGGAAGTGGAGGTTGCGGTGAGCCGAGATTGGTCCAATGCACTCCAGCCTGGGTGACAGAGCAAGACTCTGTGTCAAAACAACAAAAGATATTATGCTAAGTGAAAGAAGCCAGTCACAAAGAGCACATAGTGTGATTCCATTCACATGGAATGTCCAGAACAGGCAAATCTACACATAAAGATTGATTATTGGTTGCAGAGGCTGGCGGAAAAGGGGAACAAGGAGTAACTGTTAATAAGTAAGTTTTCTTTTGGGGGTTATTAAATCCTTTTTAAGGTTACTGAAATGTGTTTATGGCATGTGATACTCAATAAAGCTGCTATCAAGAGTGTTGGCTCAGAGGTTTAAGAAAAGCTTCAAAACTTACTTGATGGAAAAAAGTTTTATCAACAATATTTTCAATCTGCTTTGCTTTTTTATTTCTGCCTGGCTGCATTTTGATTTCATCACCATTCATTTTGCTCTCTAGGAGTCGCTGGTGTTGATGCTGAAAAGTTATGGGATCTCTTCCAGGAGGAGGATGGCAGTACAGCAGCTTACCCTGCAAAGACAACGTGAATGAGAACAGTGCATCCTCAGTGCCAGCCGTGGCCTCAGAGGAGACGTCGCCACCCAGTCACACCTGATGGAGCTTTCTGCCTTCTGGTTAAGTTAGCTGAGTTGAGCTTTGGTTTACTGCAGCTGAAGAGTCCTTTCTCTATAATGGTCAAAGTGCTCGAGAGACCTAGCTCTTCCCATGCCACCCAGACTAGGATGAAATCTCTTCTTTTCCCTTGGTTCATTCCCACTCAAGTATTCTTCAGTATACTGACATGATTATACTTGCAGTGAATATTTTCCAAAACAAAACTCAAGACACACCTGAACAGTTATGAGTAATGGTAACGTTGGGTGGACTATTAGCGTCAGGGGCGCTCCGAGACTCCTGTATGCGGGGTTGCAGGTGCTCACGAGGCGCAAGTCTGCCTCTTTCCATCATAAATGCTCTGAAGGCTGTGACTATTTTTACCTCATCTTTACAGCCTCCATAGTAAGTGGTAAATGAATACATGATTTATCCATAGCAAGAGTATTAACTACTTTCTTCCTGAACTGAAGGCAAGCCCATATGGTTGCCACTATGCTCCAAGAGCTCCACTGATGTGGTCTTGAGAAGGCTGAGGATTTGAGAACCACCAAATCCTCAGCTGGGCGCGGTGGTTCACGCCTGTAATCCTAGCACTTTGGGAGGCCAAGGCAGGTGGATCACAAGGTCAGGAGTTCAGAGCAGCCTGGCCAACATGATGAAACTCCGTCTCTACTAAAAATACAAAAATTGGCCAGGTGTGGTGCTACGCATCTGTAATCCCAGCTACTCAGGAGGCTGAGGCAGGAGAATCGCTTGAACCCAGGAGGTGGAGGTTGCTGTGAGCTGAGATCACAGCACTGCACTCCAGTCTAGGTGACAGAGCGAGACTCTGTCTCAAAAAGAAAACGAAGCCTAACCCCCACAACTGGTTATTAACAGGGTCCTATAATGCTTACTTGAGGAAAGAATTAAACTCAATACATAACAATTATTGGGGGCTCATTATGTGCCAGACATTGAGCTTACTGCCCACCCCCACACACAATAATCTCATGAGATAGACCCAGTTCATCTCCATTTTACCATGGGGAAAACCCCAAATAGCATGTTCTCATTTGAATAGGAGAAATAATAGTCTCACAGACTTGTTATGTATTTTTACTGAGAAGACACACGTAAAACAGAACTATTTCTAGCAGGGTTAGCTTTGAAGAATTGTTAGCTGTTAATATTATCATTACTAGAGAAATACAGAGCTAGGCACATAAACAGCTGTACTACAAAGACTGTGACAATGATTGCAGTCATAACAAGCAAAGGGCTGTAGGAGACGGAAAAGCCGGATGCATAAATTGGTGATTTTCACTCATAATAGGCGTTCAGAGACCTCCATCTTTTAATACATATAACGTTAACTGCCCTAGATCAAGAACACAGCTCCAGTTTCAATGAAAAAATATTTCCTTTATAATCGAACAGGTTGCCATTATCTAAACACAGAATGTGGAAAAAGACTTAGGTATTCGAGAGCATAAGAGGCAGGGTTCGCTTACACTGACATAGTCCTTCAGGATATAGCGCGCAGATCGAGGCTGGTCTGGCTGTCCATGCGCTGTCATGAATCCTCGCATATCTGTGAAAAGAATTTTGCAAAATCTCAGATGACAGAGTATCACAACAAAGACAACTGAGGTGATGTAGCTTCTATTAATAACTATGCATTCTTACTCCTGTCTTTTAAAAAATTAGGTATTGCCGGGCATGGTGGCTCACACCTGTAATCCCAGCACTTTGGGAGGCCAAGGCTGAGGTCAGGATTTCAAGACCAGCCTGACCTGACCAATATGGTGAAACCCCATCTCTTTATTAAAAAAATAATAAATAATCATTGTAGAATATATTTTGTTTAGCATTAAAAACACTAGGTAATCCAGGAGAATAAACTAGATACTTCTGATATCCTAACAATCACCTAGCACCATGCTATGAAAGGCAAATTCAGTTTCCTTTCTACTCCAGTTATTTCTTCTATCTTTTTATTTTTTGTTGAGATGGAGTTTCGCTCTGTCGCCCACGCTTGAGCGTAGTGGTGCAATCTCAGCTCACTGCAACCTCTGCCTCCTGAGTTCAGGTGATTCTGGTGCCTTAGTCTCCTGAGTAGCTGGGATTACAGGCACCACCACCACGCCTGGCTAATTTTTTAATTTTTAGTAGAGATGGGGTTTCATTATGTTGGTCAGGCTGGTCTTGAACTCCTGACTCAGGTGATCTGCCCACCTCAGCCTCCCAAAGTGCTGGGATTACAGGCATGAGCCACCGCACCTGGCCTCTTTATTTTAAACATTTATTCATGGAGGCTACTTGTAGGAGAATGCTACATTGTCAATACCATTTGCAAAACAAAAAGCAATAGATTAAGTTTTCTTATTTAATGATATACCTACATTTTTTTTCCCCAGTAAGATCCCTTTAATACTAACTCAATTAGAGGAGTAGCAAAACACAGTGGTTAAGAACATGGCCACAGGAGACAGGCTGGGTTCAAAACTCAGCTCCCTCACATACTAGCTGTCGACTGGCTTTTCCAGGTCAGAAGAAAGCAGTTAGAATCCTAATTCAAACAATATACAAAAATAAATTTAGGCAGATTAAACATCTAAATGTTAAAAAAAAAAAAGTAAATATTACAGGAAGATAGTTTTATCTTTTTGGGATGGGTAAGACCTTCCCAAGTTAACACCAAACCCAGTCAAATCAAAAAGGAAATATATAGTCTATTAAAATCGTCAACTTCTGTGGGGCCAAAGACACCATAAACTAACATTGGGAAAAACATGTAGCACATTTAACAAAGTACTTCTAGAAATCATTAAGACAGGAACCATGTATAGGAAAATGTGATTCCTAGAAGAAATATTAATGGCCATAAGACATTTGGAAAGATGTTCAACTTCACAACTATTTAAAGAAATACAAAGTAGAATGAATGACACTAATTTGGCAATATCTTTGAAAATTTTCAGCCAGAGATTTTATACTATATGCACTTGCAGATAGTGAACTTAGAAACTGTGAGTGTGGTCATTTGCTTTTACAAACTGGCTTTTTCCTTACTCGGCTTTTATAAGGCAGCATTAGATGAAAAATTTAAAAAGACTCATTCTTTTCAGTTTTATCTGGAAGTACAATCAAATTGAAAGTTTGGTGGAAGTCCACCTTTCTGCATTTTCCAGGCTAACATCCTGGAGAGAGATCTCACCCAGGGTATGCCACTGACCAGCCACCTCACCTTGGGTCAGCTCAGGCTCTGAGTTCAGATTACTCTTAAAAGTGGGGGCTAGGGTTGGGCGCGGTGGCTCACACCTGTAATCCCAACACTTTGGGGGCCTGAAGGGGGTGGATCATGAGGTCAGGAGTTCAAGACCAGCCTGACCAACATGATGAAACCCCATCTCTACTAAAAGTGCAAAAAAATTAGCTGGGAGTGGTGGCGGGTGCCTGTAATCTCACATACCCTGGAGGCTGAGGGAAGGGAATTGCTTGAACCAGGGAGGTGGAGGTTGCAATGAGTTGAGATCACACCACTGCACTCTAGCCTGGGTGACAGTGAGACTCCATTTCAAAAAAAAAAAAAAAAAAAGGTAGGGGCTAGGAGGTGAGGTGGTCTTCAGGGTCTTTTCTTGCTCTATGAATCTGTAATGACAATAGTCTTACCACAAGTGTTCAGTATTTCTTCTCTTTAGAGTCTCTATGTTCAAAGTTTGATTAAGTGTGATTCATATCAAACCACCTTTCATCTTTCTCTGCCAGTAAATACTCAAATAACCTGAACTCCTTCCCAGCAAGTAGCAATCCCTTTAAAGGCAAGCCACACATGCATGGAAATGTTCCTAACACTGTTATTTTTTTTCAGGTAGACACAGGTTCTCCAGGCCACCTTTAAAGTTTACATTTAAAGTAAGAAATCACAGGTTCTCATGTGGAATGGGGATAAATGTGAAGGTGGATGGCTGTGAGCTCATTTTAATGTCAAGTAAGGTTTCCGGGGCTGATGGAAGGAGCCCTTTGTGCCCCTCTCCTCACCAAGCTCCACTCCGTCCCGTCTCTGAGGGTTTTTCTGCTGGTGCTCCCTCATACCTCTCCTGTCTCGCTCTGGTACGTGTACTCACTTCCTTCCACACAGCCCTTTTCTTCTTGATGAGAACCCTGTGCCTGCACGTGGGTACCATCAAAGCAGCAAATGTCCTAGAAGCTGTTTGCACTTCAGGTTACTTTGCAGGCAAGGCCCGCAGAGACAAAAACACCCACCCTGGAAGACGGCTTGAAAATGCTAAAGAAATAGTGTACATTTCTATCTTTGCACAATAGTGTTTCTAGTACTATTACTATTCTCATTTCTATTAATTAGGTATGCTGTTATTTTTATTCATGTTTTCTAATGAATCGCAACTTACATCCATAAGCTGTTAACAGCTCTTCTGACGTTGGAGGCCGGTGGGGGTCTTCATCCTCTCCAGGCTTTATGATATTAATCCCATAGGTAACTTCTAAAACATGTCTTGGAATATTCTGGCAAACGTAAGCTTGTCAGGGAATCCATTCTCTTGAACTGCCTCCCTCCTCCCCATGGCATAAGAAATGCACCTCTAGGAACATGGTACTTCGTTACTTGTATGACAAACACTTTCTCCTCTCCAAAGCAAAAGTATAGTTACTGATTAATTTTAAAAGACTCAGTTTTTTTTTTTTTTTTTTTTTGAGATGGAGTTTCGCTCTTGTTACCCAGGCTGGAGTGCAGTGGCGTGATCTCGGCTCACCGCAACCTCCGCCTCCTGGGTTCAGGCAATTCTCCTGCCTCAGCCTCCTGAGTAGCTGGGATTACAGGCACGCGCCACCACGCCCAGCTAATTTTTGTATTTTTAGTAGAGACGGGGTTTCTCCATGTTGACCAGGATGGTTTCGATCTCTTGACCTCGTGATCCACCCGCCTCAGCCTCCCAAAGTGCTGGGATTACAGGCTTGAGCCACCGCGCCCGGCCGTTTTTTTCCTTTTAAACAAGGCCTTAGGTTCCAACAACTCTTCCATAGGAATTCTTTTAAAGTAATAATTTACAATATCTCTGAAGCAGACTTTAAAGATGACACATTTTTACCCTGAAAAGATCGCGCATTTGTGAGATGATTCTAATTTAGAGATAAAGCAAGTGGAGTCTCTGTCTCTAATGTCTACAATTATGCGGGGTTACTTTTCCTCCTTTGTCTAATCTACAGTTTGTCTGAAGTTTCCTTAAGCCACTAACAATATTCTGTGTTGTACTAGTTATTCACATACTTGCCTCATGTGCCCCAACAGACTGATGCTTCATAAAAGTCAGGAGCCATCTCCATTTATGCCCTGTCTTCCACAGTACCTAACCTGAGGCTGCCTGCAATAAATGATTCATGTCTAACTGTTAATTTGCAGAGAAACTTAAAAGGCCCAGCACAGTGGCTCATGCCTGTAATCCCAGCACGTTGGGAGGCCGAGGCAGGCGGATCATCTGAGATCAGGTATTTGAGACCAGCCTGGTCAACATGGCAAAACCTCGTCTCTACTTAAAAAAAAAAACAAAAATTAACTGGGCGTGGTGACGTGCACCTGTAATCCCAGCTACTCGGGAGGCTAAAGGAGAATTGATTAAACACAGGAGGCAGAGGTTGGAGTGAGCCAAGATTGAACCACGGTACTCCAGCCTGGGTGACAGAGTGAAATCCATCTCAAAAAAAAAAAAAAAAAAAAAAAAAAAAAAGGTATACACTTTTTCAAATAGATATATCTATAAATAAGCTGTGGCCTTAGTTATGAAGGGTCTGCAATTTTACCCTATTTAGAAGCCAACAGATAACTGTGCCAGTTTCATGAAGTCTCCTGTTTTCTGCTGGTATCCACAAAACAATGACAAACTTGTTAGCTTGTAAATAGAATAAAATCTCAGACCTTGCAAGTTTTTTTCTTTCATTTTTTTTTTTTCTTAAAGACAAGAGTCTCGCTGTCTCACCCAGGCTGGAGTACAGTGGCACTATCTCAGTTTACTGCAAACTCTGCCTCCCAGGTTCAAGAAATTCTTGTGCCTCAGCCTCCCGAGTAGCTGGGACTATAGGCGTGCACCACCACGCCCTGCTAATTTTTGTATTTTTAGTAGAGACAGGGTTTCGCTATGTTGGCCAGGCTGATCTCAAACTCCTGGCTCAAGTGACCTATGCGCCTCGGCCTGCCAAAGTGTTGGTGGTTATAGGCATGAAGCACTATGCCTGGCCCCTGCATAGCTCTTCACAAATCCATCTTTGAGTCCTTTTTGTTGCTGGGGACCGTCCTAGATGCTTTATGTAAGTTAATTCATTATGCTACTGAGAGGCAGCAGAGTTCCTAATTTACTACTTACTAGCTATAAGGGCTTAGATAAATTATTTAACTTCTCTGTGCCTCAGTTTCCTCAAGTTTGAAGAAATGGGAGTAACACCAGTGTCTGCCTTAAGGGTTGTTTTTTGAGGATTAAAAGATACTTGGTTAGGGTTTAGAAAAGCACATAGAAAGTATTCAATATATATTAGTTATACTGATTAAATATAACCAACCGTGATATAGATGATTTTCCCCACTCAGAGAAAAGCAAAGTACTTGGGAAGGTTAAGCAAGTTCAACTGGCTAAATCTGAAGGTCATTCAAATGGCTAAACGGCATTGTTAAATAGGTTTGCAACTTGGAGCTGAGTATCTGAAACCTGGATTCTTCCATTCCTACACTGCTGAAATCAGGAAATGAAGTTCTAATTCTGAAGTTCTCATGCTATCTCACAGTATGAACTCATGCAGATCACTAGTATTTTAAATTCTTCATCAAATCTGAATCCCTCAAATGCCCAAAACAAACCTGAAGCCCTAATACGCACATAATAACTACAGTGTTTCTGAAGCAGAAAGGATATTAATGATACAGGTGGAACGTGATCTCTCATCTGATCAATTGGGAGGATTCCGCTGCAAGTCATTTCTGCCTTCGTAGACACAAAAGATGGCATCACCAAGCCTGGGCAGTCACATAGGCAGAGGCCAGGCTCCACGTAGAGTGTCTGAAGGACAAGTAAGAGGCCTGAGCTGGGCATACAGCAGACGAAGAAAGAGCTGCATACAAGTGGCAAAGAACTACAGACATACCTGAAAGTGCTTCGTGTGACCAGGTGTGGCAGACACAGATACTTTCTTGTTGCCCATGATGGTGTTGATTGTTGAACTCTTACCAACATTAGGGTAGCCCACCTAGAAGAGACTCAGCAGTTACCAAACAGGAAAACAGTACATCTATCAAAGACTCAGAGGCATTACAGATAGTGGCAAGACTAGCATAAGCATCTGGTTACTTCGGAAAATTATTTGAAATCGATGCTCTCTGTGTTTGTTGAGACATCTTTTTTCGCCTGTGATGAGGGTATTTATTCAGATGTGACTCCAGTGACAAATGGTCAGGCTATGCACATTTTAATTGTGTAGGTTTTGCTGTTTCATCCCCTTGTTCCCCGCCTTCCCTCACTGCCTCATCCACAGGCAGCTGTTTCCGCCGCATCTCCCACACTGGTGAGGATGATCAGATGGACATTTTAATAACCACACACATTCTTTAAATTTTCAATCGCTTTTTCGTTAGAGTCAGCATTCTTGCCTGGCATGTGGCGGGTGATCAATAAATGTCTACAGAATTTCTAGAGTGAGAAATTCAGAAAATGAGGAAGGCTGCTCAGTTTTTCCATAAATGTGAGAAAGAAAGGTACTTGTAGAGAAGCTGAACTTTCTGATACAAATTTTTAGCAACAATATAGAGAAGGAAGCTCTAAAGCTCAAAGACATTATGCAACTTTCCCAGAGTTTATAACAAGTTAGTTCTACTGCTGAATTGGGAATTACACCTAGGTTTGTCTGACTCCACAGACAACTCTTTTAACTAGTGCAGTAAAATAAGATGCTAATCTACTTTAGTCATTTTAAGTGGGCATTTTGGGGCAGGGAGTTGGGGCAGGAGAGAAGGGGGCTCAAAAATAATTAGGATTAGCTGTACTTAGCATGCAACTGAAAAGCTAGGACACTTTAAACCTGCCACGATCTCCTTTCCCTCACTGTTATATTCTGGACAGGTCTTTATAATAAATACCTTCTCTAACATCTTACATCTCCTTAGCTAAGGATGGGGCCACCTAGAACCATGCTGTAGCCCCTTGGGGTTTGGGCACTTCCACAGCCACTTCTGGAACTAGGGTATATAAAGCTGGGGATGTGATCTACTTTCCCCTATCTGCCATGCTCTGCAGTGTTTATGCAACTCATGCATTTGTCATATTTTGTCTAGCCCCAAGATGTTGGGGTTCTCCCTAATAAGCATCTAGAACATTTATAGCATAAGCTGGCAAGGATCACAGGGTGTCAAAAGAACACTGGGCTGAAGTCTGAAGACAACAATAACATCTCTTTCATTCTGCTCTCTTGGTCCTTCAAAAGACAGGAAAAGCTTTACTGCAGGGAGACTGGAGGATGCATTTAATGTGAACAGGCATGTTACCAATACAACCCTTGAGGAAGCTGATTCCTTCGAGCTGGGGTCTGTCTGTCCCACTGCCTAATCTCATGATGCCAGTGGGCAACAAGAGGGCAATGTTCCCTATGATGCCAGAAGCCTGGTTTGTCTCTGGGGTCCTCATGTAGCTACTGAGGAATGGGGAATAAAGACGTTACGTGGTAACAATGTTCTGACATAATGTCATCTTACCAGTCCGACTGTAAGTTGCCCATCTTTCACTTTCTTCCCGGTGTGTAGCTCCTTAAAAAGCTCTAGTAACTCCTGCTTTGATACCAGATGGCTGAAGTTGTGTATCTGCCTCTTCTGCGGGGTGTTCCTGCCCGGAGCCTCAGAATCTGTCATACAGCTTTCCTTCCAGTCCTGGCCACGGTCCTCTTCATCAGGACTGTCTTCTTCTGAACACGTCTGCCAGTCATCTTCCTCTTCCTCCTGACAGTCCTCATACTCACTGTCATCTTCATCAGTAGTGGGATTTTCACTCAGTAAAGGAGAGTCTCTGGCTGGGAGATGTTCAGTCTCACTGTGTGAAATTTCAGCCTCGTCGAAGCTGGAGTTTTCAAACTCAGTTGTGTTGCTTTGTCTATCATCTCTGTTTACCTCTTCCTGATAAAATAGAAACACTCAGAAGTACATAACTGCAGTTTCCACTCTAGACGAGATACTTAATGAATTGGTTATGCAAGATGAACAGGGGACAGGCGGGCGCCATGCTCACGCTGTAACCCCAGCATTTTGGGAGGCCGAGGCAGGCAGATCATTTGAGGTCAGGAGTTTGAGACCAGCCTGACCAACATGGTGAAACGCTGTCTCTACTAAAAATACAAAAATTAGCTGGGCGTGGTGGTACATACCTGTAATCCCAGCTACTTAGGAGAATTGCTTGAACCTAGGAGGTGGAGGTTGCAGTGAGCCGAGATGGTGCCACTGCACTCTAGCCTGGGCAACAGAACAAGGCTCTGTCTCAAA